CACAGTTAATTGTCTCGTTGGTGCCATTGTTATTTAGGGGTTTCCTGACACATGCAGAGAAACGATCGCTGGTCCCCACAGCTCACCTTCCAAAGAAGCAGGGGTTCCTGCCCGCCACGTGTCCCGCACAGGTTCCCAGATACCCACACATCTTTCGGAGCTGGCAAGGAAGAGGAAAGGGGGGAAAAGGAGAGGGATGTGATTGGCCAGACTTCCAGGAGGGGCGGGGCAAAGTTGGGCACGAGTTCGGCTATGCTCACCAGAGGGCGGCGTCTGGAAGGACAGAATGGGGCTCCACTCGCCCCACAAATCCTCTTCGTTCTCCATTCGACAGCGGCCGCGCGCCTCGTAGGCAGTGGCTAGCTCCAAATCCTGCACCTCAACGGGGGCCAGGGGCATGGTCTTCACTTCCGATTCCAGCTGGGGGAGGGACAGGGGAAAGCGATGGGGCCAGGGGCTGAGTTGAGGGTACTTGAACTCATGTATCAGCAGAGTGACCAATTGTCACTCTGGGCTTGCCCAGGACTGAGGGGGAGCAGTTCCAGAGGGGGGACCTTTCAGTCTTGAAATTGGCACAGCCCCAGGCAATCAGAGACAAGATGGTCACTCTATGCACCAGGTAGAGCAGGAGGTGGTAAGTTCTTTTAGTATCCCCGTTTGACAGTTGAGTAAACTGAGGCCCAGAGAGGGGAAGTGACTTGCTCAAGGTCACAGAGCTGGAAGTGCTGGAACTGAGATTCATACGCTGGTAGGGAGATTCCAAAGTCTGCATCTCAGCATTGCTCTGAATTGCATGAACAATCACAATGACAATAACTCTGGTTTTTAGGGTGGCGTTTTGCATCAAAAGCTGCAAGCAAGGCAGGTGGTTACCAATATCTACTCTCCTCTTCTTCCTTTGTTAATAGAACCTGGACACCTTAGTTGGGAAGATGGTTGCCAAGAATGAAGACTACATTTCCCAGTGTTTCCTTGCAGTCAGGTGAGACCATGTGACTAGGTTCTTGGCCAGTGAAGTATAATATGAGAGGAAATGATATATGCAACTTTCTGTTGTGCCCTTAAGTGTTGGACTCCTTCTGGGGTCCCCTGGTTCTGGATTTGTCTTCCATTTTCCTGCTGTGTAACCTTGGGAAAGTTGCTTAACTTCTCTGAGGTTGAGCTTTCCCAACTACAAAATAGGAGATTTTTTTTGTTTTTGTTTTTTGTTTTTAGAGACAGGGTCTTGCTCTGCTGCCCAGGCTGGACCGGTGTCATCATAGCTCACTGCAGGCTCAAACTTCTGGGCTCAAGTGATCCTCCCGCCTCAGCGCCCCAAGTAGCTGGGACTACAGACATGAGCCGCCATGCCCAGCTAATAGATAATTTGGGGAAGAAAATTTTAACAATAGGCATTATGCAGACAGATTGCAGGGGCAGGCTTGGAATGAGCCCTGGGCTGGGTCTCTGATTGGAGGATGATGTCCCAGGCAGGGCTGGGGGGAAAGGGTCCCTGATACTCACCGGGGTCCAGGTCACCTCCTGGCATCTTCTGTAGTAGAATTCGCAGATCATGACTTTATGAGACGGCCATGTGGGTGGGGCCCAGTGGATAGTGGCCTCCAGGGGGTCATCCTCTGAAAAGTCCACGTCAGGGCCCAGCTGGGGGGTGTTTGGCTTCACTGGGGAAGGGAAGACCGGGGTGCAGTGAGCTGGACCCCCCAGGAGCACCCACCCATACATAGCGCCCCATCTTCCCGCCATATTACTTCGGGTTTCCAAGTTCACGAAGACGGGAGGCCAAAGAGGCTGGCCTGCCTTGGTCCCCCAGACAAGGAGTTTGTCAAACACGGTGAGCCGTTCCCGAGGAATAGCCACCCAGCTCTGCCCGGCAGGCACTGCCACAGTCTGAGTTTTGTTGGAATGGCTGCAAAGAGAGAGGCGGGGATGAGACAGGTGTACATCTAGCTGGGCCCAGAGCTATAGGATGACAACCCCTCATACTGACAGAGTGGCCGCAGCCTGCTCTACTTGGGTTCAAATCCCAGCTCTGTTGCTTCAGAGCTCTGTGACCTTGAGCAAGTGACTTAACTTCTCTGTAGCCTCAATTTCTCCTCTACAAAATGAGGGCAATAAAAGTAACTGCTGGGCCAGGCGTGGTGGCTCACGCCTGTAATCCTAGCACTCTGGGAGGCCGAGGCGGGCGGATTGTTTGAGCTCAGGAGTTTGAAACCAGCCTGAACAAGAGCGAGACCCCGTCTCTACTAAAAATAGAAAGAAATTAATTGGACAACTAAAAATGTATAGAAAAAATCAGCCAGGCATGGTGGCGTGTGCCTGTAGTCCCAGCTACCCAGGAGGCTGAGGCAGAAGGATTGCTTGAGCCCAGGAGTTTGAGGTTGCTGTGAGCTAGGCTGACGCCACGGCACTCTACCCCGGGCAACACAGTGAGACTCTGTCTCAAAAAAAAAAAAAAAGTACCTGCTGAAAGGGCTGAATAGGGGAGGGGAAATATTAGATAATAAATGGAATGTGTTTAGAACAACATCAGGTGCACACACGTTATGTGAGCATTGGTTATTATGTTTACTGAACACCTACTATATGCAGACACGGTAACATCTGTGCAGCTATTCAGTAAGCTAATATATATATGGCGTGAGGCCCTGTTCTAGAAGTGGGGGGTAGCAGTTGGACCAAAACAGACAAGAACTCACCCTCTGGAGGTGGTGTTCCAGTGGGAGAGACAGGTGACAAACACATAAATATATCCTTGAGGCCAGGTCAGGTGGTATAAGAGGGGGATGTATGTGCTATTTTAGGGAGGGTGTCAGAAAAGTTCTCTTCACTGAAGAGACATTTGAATAAAGGCCTGGGCTGGGTGTGGTGGCTCATGCCTGTAATCACAGCATTTTGGGAGGCTGAGGCAGGAGGATCACTTGAGCCCAGGAAGTTCAAGACCAGCCTGGGCAACATAGGGAGACACTGTCTCTATTTTTTTGTTTTAACAAAAAGGCCCGGCACAGTGCCTGACGCCTGTAATCCTAGTACTCTGGGAGGCCGAGGCAGGAGAATTGCTTGAGGTCAGGAGTTGGAGACCAACCTTAGTGAGATTACATCTCTAAAAAACCTAGAAAAATTAGCTGGGTGTGATCGCATCTGCCTGTAGTCCCAGCCACTCAGGAGGCTGAGGCAGGAGGATCGCTTGAGCCCAGGAGTTTGAGGCTGCAGTGAGCTATAATGACACCACAGTACTCTAGCCTGGGTGACAGAGTGAGACTCTGTCTCAAACATACACACACACACACACACACACACATACACACACACACCTAAGACCCTCATCAAACAAACAAGAAAACCAAACAGGCCAGGGGCAGTGGCTCACACCTGTAATCCCAGCACTTTTGGAGGCCGAGGTAGGAGGATCACTTGAGGCCATGAGTTCAAGACCAGCCTGGGCAACATAGTGAGACCCTGTCTCTACAAAAAATAAGAAAAATTAGCTGGATGTTGGGAGGCTGAGGCAGGAGGATCGCTTGAGCCCAGGGATTCAAGGCTGCAGTGAGCTATGATCACACCACTGAACTCCAGCTTGGGTGGCAGAGCAAGACCCTGGCTCTAAAAAAAATAAAATAAATAAATAAATAAATAAAAACCAAAAGAGCAAGTGTTGGTGAGGATGTGGAGAAACTGGTGGGGGGAATGTAAAATGGCGCAGCCACTGTGGAAATGCAAATTAAAGTCAAAATGATCTCTCCTCTCACGTCTGTTGTAATAGAATGACTTTTACCAAAAAGACAAAAGGCAAGTGTAGTGTTGGCAAGGGATGTGGAGAAAAGGGAACCCTTGTACGCTGCTGATGGGAATGTAAATTAGTACAGCCATTATGGGAAACAGTGGGAAGTTTCCTCAAAAAACTAAAAATAGAACTACCATATGATCCAGCAATCCCATTTCTGGGTATTCATCCAAAAGATTTTAAATCAGTTTTTCGAAGAGAAGTCTGCACTCCCGAGTTTATCTAAGCACTATTCCCAATAGCCAGGTTATGAAATCTACCTAAATTCCTTCGAAAGATGGATGGATAAAAAAAATACGGTGCCAGGCGTGGTGGCTCGCACCTGTAATCCCAGCATTTTGGGAGGCCGAGGTGGGAGGATTGCTTGAGGCCAGGAGTTCGAGACCAGCCTGAGCAACATGTCGAGACACCCCCCCCACACTCCATCTCTATAAAAAAATGGAAAAATTAGCCAGGCAGGGTGGTGTGTGACTGTAAGTCCCAGCTACTCAGGAGGCTGAGGCGGGAGGATGGCTTGAGCCCAGAAGTTCAAGGTTGCAGATCTGTGATCACAGCAACGCTGCACTCCAGCCCGAGTGGACCCTGTCTTTTAAAAAAACAACAAAAAGGCCGGGCGCGGTGACTCACGCCTGTAATCCTAGCACGCTGGGAGGCCGAGGCGGGAGGATCGCTTAAGCTCAGGAGTTCGAGACCAGCCTGAGCAAGAGCGAGACCCCGTCTCTACTAAAAATAGAAAGAAATTAATCGGACAACTATAAATATATAGAAAAAATTAGCCGGGCATGGTGGCGCATGCCTGTAGTCCCAGCTACTCAGGAGGCTGAGGCAGGAGGATCGCTTGAGCCCAGGAGTTTGAGGTTGCTGTGAGCTAGGCTGACGCCACAGCACTCTAGCCCGGGCAACAGAGCGAGACTGTCTCAAAAAAAAAAAACAAACAAACAACAAAAATAAAAGTGGCAAATATACACAATGGAATACTATTCAGCTTGAAACAGAAAGGAAACCTGGTCATTTGTGACAATATGGATGGAATTGAAGAACATTATGCCAAATGAAATAAGTCAGGTACAGAAAGACAGATACTACGTGTTCTCACGCGTATGTGAAATCTAAAACATCTCAGCTCATAGAGGCTGAGGGTTGAGGGAAGATGATGATTGAAGGGTATAAACCCTCAGTTAGACAGACGAATGTGGTTTTTCTTTTTTGAGTTCTGCAGTGTGGTGAATATAGTTAATAATAGAGTATTGTACATTTTAAAATTGCTAAGAGAGGCCAGGTGCAGTGGCTCACACCTGTAATCCTAGCCCTCCGGGAGGCCGAGGCTGGTGGATTGCTCAAGGTCAGGAGTTCGAGACCAGCCTGAGCAAGAGTGAGACCCCGTCTCTACTAAAAAATAGAAAGAAATGATCTGGACAACTAAAAAGATATAGAAATAATTAGCCGGGCATGGTGGCGCATGCTGTAGTTCCGGCTACTCAGGAGGCTGAGGCAGAAGGATCGCTTGAGCCCAGGAGTTTGAGGTTGCTGTGAGCTAGGATGATGCCACTGTACTCTAGCCCGGGCAACAGAGCAAGACTCTGTCTCAAAAAAAAAAAAAACAAAATTGCTAAGAGAGTACATTTCAGATGTCCTCACCACAAAAAGTGTGAAGTATTTGCTCTGATGGGATGTTAACTAGCTTGATTTAATTTTTATACATTGTGTTCACAAATTATAACATCACTTTGTACCCTATACATGAATGCAATTATAAATTGTCAATTGATAATGAAAAAAGAAGGTTAAACATCAAATTACCACATGACCCAGCAGTTCTACTTCTGGATATAGACCCCAAGGAACTGAAAGACAGGGACTTGAACAAAACACTTGAACAAAAACCACACATGTTCATAGCAGCACTGTTCACAAGAGCCAAAAGGTGGAAATAACCCGATGTCCATCAACAGAGGAATGAATGGATAAACAAATCGTGGTACAGGTATATGGTAGAACATTATTAATAGTAAAATGGAATGAAGTTCTGGTCCAACCTACGACGTGGAGGAACCTTGGAAATACTATGCTCAGTGAAAGAAGCTGGACCCAAAAGGCCACATATTGTGTGATTTCATTTATCCGAAATGTTTAGAATACGGAAATCCATAGAGACAGAAACTAGCTCAGTGGTTGCCAGGGGGTGGGGGAGGGGAGGGAACGGGGCATGGCTGCTAATTGGTAGAGGCTGTTTTTTGGGATGATGAAATGTTTCGGGAGGAGATAGAGGGGATGGTTGCAGAACACTGGGAATATGCTAAATACCACTGAATTGTATTGTATTGTATTGTATATATTTTATTTCATTTCATTTTATATTTTATTTTAATTTTATTTTGAAACAGAGTCTTGCTCTGTTGCCCTGGGTAGAGCACAGTGGCGTCATCACAGCTCACTGCAGCCTCAAACTCCTGGGTTCAATTGATCTTGCTGCCTCTGCCTCCCAAGTAGCTGGCATTATAGGTGCCAGCCAGCATGCCTGGCTAATTTTTTCTATTTTTAATAGAGACTGGGTCTTGCTCTTGCTCAGACTGGTCTCGAACTCCTGACCTCAAGCGATCCTCCCACCTCAGCCTCCCAGAGTACTAGGGTTACAGGTGTCAACCACCGCGCCTGGCCCTGAATTGTACACTTTAAGTGGTTAATTTTATGTTATGTGAATTTTACTTCATTAATAAAAAGGGGGGACCCTCTCTGACTCCCTCACCCTGCACCAATTAAAACGAGGCTCCTTCTGGAGACCGATGGTAGCGATCAGAGCACCACGTGAATGTACTTAATGCCACTGAACTGAGACTTAAAAATGGTTAAGATCATAAATTTTATGTGTGTTTTAACCACCAATAAGGGAAAAAAAAAACAACCCCAGCACGCCTATGCCCCGTGCCTGTCTTTTGTTGACCTTTTTACTTTCTTCCCTCACTTAGTGTAATTTGAAATTATGAGTTTTCAGGTAGGTCTCTCCCTTGAGGAAGAGCCAGGCTTTCGGTCTACCTTTTTCACTAAAGCACCCCAGCACCAGACTGAATGAGCTTTTCATATGCTCAGAGAAGTTAAGCTACTTGCCTAAGGTCACACAGCAATTTTTTTAAAAAACCTTACATTATTAAGCTTTTTATCTTTGCCAAGCGCCTAACTTTGAATCCTCAGAGTCAACCCTGGGAGGCAGGTTCCATCATCATTGTCATTTTGAGACTTTTTTTTTTTTGAGACAGAGTCTCTCTCTGTTGCCCAGGCCGGAGTGCAGCGGTGTCATCATAGCTCACTGCAACCTCGAACTTCTGGGCTCAAGCGATCCTTCCGCTTCAGCCTCCCACAGTGCTAGGATTACAGTTGTGAGCCACCGCGCCCGGCCTATTGCCATTTTAATAGAGGACGAAACAGAGGCTCAGAGGGGGATAGTGACTAGCTCAGGATCACACAGCATGGAAATGAAGGAACCTAGAATTAAAGGGCTTGAGAGTGGATCTTTTCAACCAGAGCAGTCTGGGACCTGAGCGGCCCACCTCCAAGGCCTCAGTTTCCCCAATCCACGCCACTGTACTCACTACTTCTGGCTCTGGAGGTGCAGCGTAGACGGGGCTCCTAGGTCCCCAAGAGGCTCCCACGAGCAGTTCAAGTTGCCCAAGGGTCCAACTCCGTAGCATTGCAGTGGCGCGGGGCTGCCTGGAGGGGGAGGCAGAGGGGCTCAGGGAGGGGCGTTCGATCCCCCCACGCCGCCTGCACACCCAGAACTGGAGCTTGCCAGCACTTCTGACAATTGCGGGGGGCATTCCGGGGTCCCTTACGCAAGTGCGCGGCAGGAAGGGGGCCCTGGGCAAAACTCCTCCCCTCCCTCTGCCAGCCACATCCTGTCAACCACCCAGCAGCGCCCATCCCTCCACCCCGGCGCTGTTTCCCACCTCGCCACCAGCCACATGCCGACTCCCTTTGTCGCCCGGGTCCCTGCCACACGCTCCGCAAACCCGGGGTTCACCCCGGAGGCTCTGCGCCTTGGGGGTGAGCGCAGCGGCAGAGCACCCGGCACGATCTCCCTCCAGAACTCACCCTGGGGACGCGTCGGGGGGAACAGCGCGAACAACAGAGGCGACAGCAGCAGCAGCCGCAGCCTGGGCAGCGGCCGCGGCCAGAACGGGGCGACGCGGGCCCCCCTCATGGCGCCCCCCGCACGCGCCGGTCCCTCCCGGCTCTGCCGGCCCTGCGCGCGGCCGCGCGGCTCCTCCTCTGGGTCCCGCGCCGGGGGCGGCGACAACGGGAAGCCGAGCCACCCCTGCAGGCCGCCTCGGCACCTTGCGCGCCGGTCCCGCCCCTTCCCCGAGACGGAAAGTCCCCGGGGGCTGCGTAGCCGGCCGGGGCTGGGTGGGGGGAGTGGGGAGGCGGCTTGGAGCATCGGGGGTGGGGGTGGGGTGGCTCCGAGGGCGACGCCGAGCTCCCCTCAATCCTGTCCCCCCCACCCCCTCCAACAACGACGCACACGCGCACTCTGCCAAGTCCTTTGGAACTTTTATTACTGGGGTCGGGGGAGGTTCTCACGCGCCCACCGCGCCTCCCATCCCAGGTGATCACAGGAAGCTAGGGGACCTGCCACCACCCTTGGGCCGCAGCCTTGGAGCTCTGGAGGGGCGAGATTGGAGGAGACCAGGCTGGAAGGCAGGGAAAGGGGAGTGAGCAAAGGATGGACTGAGACAGGGGCGTTAATTTGGGCTGCCCAGGTGACAAAGGTCATAGTTTGCGCTGGGCAGGTAGGCAGGGGTCTCAGTGTGGCCCGGCCAGGCAGAGGCATGGCTTGGGCTGGGGAGAGGTGAGGAGTCAGGCTCAGGGACTCCGGGTTTGGCCAGGAAGGGGAGGCAGCTTGCTCAGGACCCAGGGGCAGGAGAGGCTGGTTGAAAGTCAGCATCGGACTCTGTGACTTGCAGATGAATGAATGTGTGAAGGCCGGAAGACAGGTGCCCAGCCAGACATCGGCTGAGCGGAGGCGGGTCTGGGGACGTTGGTCCCGGTGCGCCCAGCTGCCCAGCCCAGGAACTAGCAGAGGCTGCTGATTTCACTTTTGCTGCACCCCCACTTGCAGCAGTTGCTTGAAAGGCCAGCCAGGACATCTCGGCTCCCCCGAAGAGCCCCCGGAGTTTCCTGCCAGCTGGGTCGGCCCCCGTAAAAGGCCTGGGGGGACTTGGTCAGGGCCAGCCACTCGCTAGAGCCCACAGCCTCATCCAGTTCACCTGCCAGGCTGTCAGCATCTGCACCTGGGAAGGCACCCCCTATAAAAAAAGAAGAGAGTTAGTACTCAGGGCTCAGCTTCCGCCACACCCAGAGTCCTGGCTCCTGGCTGGTCCGGCTACTTCTCTGTTTTGTGATACACCCTTGTGATCCAAAGTTTTGATTTCACTCAGTTCTGGATTAAAATTTTGGCTCTGTCACCAGGTTTAATGGGCAGATGACTCAACCTTACTGACCTTGACTTTCTTCTCTTGTCATTTATTTCCCCTTACTCTTTATTTATTGAGGACCTGGTGATTAAGAGCCTATATTTGAGAGCTGGGTTGACTGAGTACAAATCTAGACTCTCCAAGCTATAACTATGAGAAACTGAATTTACCTCTGAGCCTCAGTTTCCTCGTCTGCAAAGTTTGGAAAATAATAACCCCTACCTTCTCAAGTTTTATAAGGAATAGAGGAGTTAATACCCATAAAAAACTTAGAACAATGTCTGGCTCATTATAAGCATGCGAAATAGCACTGATCCTTTATCGAGCACTTACTGCGTGCCAGACACTATTTTATGTGTTTCAGCAGATTAACTTCTTTATTCGGCTTAAGGACAACCACATGAGGTGGGTCCTGTTATTATCACACCGGTTTTCCAGCAGAGACCACTGAGGCATGAGTCGGTAGAGAACTTGCACAAGAACACACAGCTATTAATTGTAGAGCTTCTATTTGAATCCAGGCAGGGTGTCTTCTGGGTCCACCCTCATATCCACCCATCTTCCTCCTCCTCAGTCTCCTTGTCATGAACATCTGTTCTTTGGCCAGACCCCTGCCCCTCGTGGGACTAGGGTCTCCTGTCCCCCCAACCCTCCCCTTTGAGCCTGGACTGAGCCCCCTGTCCTGCTTAGACTGTGCACTTAGCTGTTTTGACTTAATGATACCACTTAACACAGACAAGGTTCCGGGACTGTGCTTCCCATTCAAAAATAAAGGTGGTCAGAGAGGCGAAGCAAATTTCTGGGGAGGGGTCACGCACTAGGTGGCAAAATCCAGGCTGTTTATGCACCACACCCCTTGCATTACCTGCTGGAAAGAGCCAGAAAGCATGCCAGTCCTTGGGAAGGGTGCCCTCCTTGGACTTGGGCAAGCAGCAGCTTTGCATAGCACAGGGCTTGGCACATAGTAGGTGCTCAGGAAACTTCTAGCCCCTGTGGATGGCTCTTCCCCCACTCCCATCCCAGCTCTGCAGTCCTGCTGACTCCTGAGCCCTCAGCGTGGCTTCAAGGCTGGGCAGGTGTCACCTGCTGGATGTGGTAGGGCAGGGACCCTATTCCTCCAGCCGCTCTTCTCATTTCTGTCCTTGTGTCCCTGATCCTGTCCGGCCATCTGTTCCCTCCCACAACACCTGCTTACCAGCCTTACCCATAGCGTCGCGGGCCAGGATGTCCGATCGTCTCCAGCGGGAGCCCCCGCAGGTGAAGATGACTGCTCGGATGAATTCACGGCCGCAAAGCTTCACTCCATAGGGTGCCGCCCGGACCGGGGCCCCCAGCCAGAGCTCCCCAGCCAGCACCCACACCACCAGCAGCAGAGGCAGCGTGCACTTGGCCATGCTGGACAGAGTCACCTCGCACACGAGAGTGGGTCAGTGTCTCCGCTGCCTCCCGGCCCCCCCATTTATACATCGTGGCTCCCCCCTCCCTGCCTGAAGGAAGCTGACTGATCTTCTTATCTCCCCCAGCAGAGGGGAGGCGGCCACGGCCCCCCCAACCCGACCTTTCCCGTTTCCCCATCGAAGCGATAACCTTTCATCAGGGACACGGTGACGTGGTCCAGCTCACTGTCATCTGCGACAGAGAGAGGTGAGAAGGCCTTGATTCTGCAGAAACCAGAAATGATGCTCCCACCAGGCAGGGCGAGAGGACACAGCTAGACCCCTATAGGGCCAGGATCCTGGACCCCTTCTAAGACGATAACAAGAACAGCAATAGTGAGCGCTTCTGCAGTATGGGCTATGGGACTAGGCGCAGCTCTAAGCATTTGTATCTGAGTAATGTATTTAATCCTTCCAACAACCTGTGATAATGGTTCTCGCATGTGATCAAGCCTCGAAACTTTCTGGAGGACTTGTTAAAACACAAATTTCAAAGCTGGGTGTGGTGGCTCACGCCTGTAATCCCAGCACTTTGGGAGGCCAAGGTGGGAGGATCGCTTGAGGTCAGGAGTTCAAGACCAGCTTGAGCAATATAGCAAGACCCCATCTCTATGAAAAATTTAAAAATTAACCAGATGTGGTGGCACCTACTTGGGAGTAGCAGCTACTTGGGAGGCTGAGGCTGGAGGATCATTTGAGCCCAAGAGTTTGAGGCTGTAGTGACTATGATGGCACCACTGCACTCCAGCCTGGGTGACAGAGCACAATCTTGTCTCAAAAATGAACAAAAACCACAGATCACTGAGTTCCAACTGCGCTGGAACCAACAGGTACAGAATGGGCTTTGAGAATCTGCATTTCCAATAAATTCCCAGGCGCTGCTTGCCCAGAGACCAGAGTTTTGAGAGCTACTGGGCTATAAGGACTAAGATTATCCCCCAGTTACAGATGGGGAAACTGAGGCACAGAGAAATTTCACAAGGTGCTCGAGGTCAGTTAGTTAGTGGGGGATGAGATGGGGGTGGTTCAAATGGACCAGTCCTAGGATCCATGCTCTGTGAGAGAAAAAATCCCAATAATGGGAAAAAAAATGTTATGGGGACAGAGTTTCAGTTTTACAAGATGAAGAGTTCTGGAGATGGCTGGTGACCGTGGTTGCACAACAGTGTGAGTGCACTTAATGCTGCTGAAGTGCACACTTAAAAATGGGGAAGAGGGCCAGGCGCGGTGGCTCACGCCTGTAATCCCAGCACTCTGGGAGGCCGAGGTGGGAGGATCGCTTGAGGTCAGGAGTTCGAGACCAGCCTGAGCCAGAGCGAGATCCCATCTCTACTAAAAATAGAAAGAAAATTAGCCGGGCGTGGTGGTGCATGCCTGTAGTCCCAGCTTCTTGGGAGGCTGAGGCAGGAGGATCCTTTGAGCCCAGGAGTTGGAGGTTGCTGTGAGCTAGGATGATGCCACTGCACTCCAGCCTGGGCAACAGAGGCAGACTCTGTCTCAAAAAAAAAAAAAAAGTATCTCATTAAAATCATGTACATAGAGGAGCTGTGGTTCGCTGGGAAATGACTAACAGCGGTCTCTCCAGCCCTGATTTGTAGTGGTTGTCGATTTCTGACCAATTTCAAGATGTCAATGCCATGTCTCCAAATTCCTGAAAAGTTAACAATCGGTTCTCACGAGCTTGTGTGAGCCAGCTTCGGTACACCACCACCATGTGAAAAACACACGTATGATTCAAAGAATCGTTGTAAACAGGACCCATGTAAATCATTACTCAGATCGGAAACAGGATGGCATTAGCACCGCAGATATCTCCCCACCCCGTTTCCTCCCTCTGCTCAATCTCTCGCTCCCTTCAGAGGTAGCTGCCATCTGACTTTTGCCATCATCATTTCTTTCTTTTTCTCTCTCTGTCTTTTCTTTTGTTTCTTTGAGACAGGGTCTCCCTCTGTCACCCAGGCTGAAGTGTAGTGGCCTGATCATAGCTCATTGAAGCTTAGAACTCCTGGGCTCAAGCGATCCTCCCGAGTAGCTGGGACTACAGGCACATGCGACCACATCTGGCTAATTTTTGTATTTTTTGTAGCGATGGGGTCTTGCTATGTTGCCCAGGCTGGCCTCCTACTCCTGGCCTCAAGTGATCCTCCCACCTTGGCCTCCCAGAATGCTGGGATTACAGGTGTGAGCCACTGCCCCTGGCCAACTTAAGCCATCATCACTTCTTTGCTTTCCATTCATAGTTTTAACACTAA